CCATACCCAGAATGATATCAAAAGGTAAATTCTTTTCTATGAGGAAGGTTAGTTCATGCACAATCTTCTTTCCTTCCTTCGTTCGGAACTGACACTTAATACGATCAACAAACTGAGAGACAGTGATCGTACTCTTGTCTGCTAACATAGACGTTATAGGTCGAGACAAATCTTTTACCTTCATGCCGAGATGCAACTTACAAATTGCCGTTATAGGGTCTAGCATCACACCAACTCTTGTTCGTGCGATTTCAACATCTGCAAACAACAACTCGCCCTTAGTCTTTGCCTTTCGAGCCCATGAGTCACGTAATGCTAGCAATTCGTTACCTAACTCATCAAGGGAGTCATCCAGAGAGACAGAACATAAGACAATATCAGGGCGATCTGGATGATGGGCTAAGGAAGAATCATCCTCTGCCAATTGAGAAGAAGGGTAGGAAGGGGTCGTAGGCGCCTTACCTGTCTGTTCGTTTTTACCCTTAATCTCAGTAGGAGCAGATGCTATTCCTACTGGCTGTTCGCTTTTGGGTTCCGGATCTGAGGGCAATAGGCGATCACATGTCCCGCTGTGCCGCACTTGAGACATTGCGCATTGTCCATGCGCTCCTGCCAAGTCTTTCTAGTCATACCCATTTCGACCCATGGCTTCCCATCAGCAATGCCAGGGTGCCATGGAAACGCTTTTTGTTTCTTCCCTCCTGTCCTGGGTGGTCCTCCCTTATTGGCCACAACAGCAGTGACTTCCCCCTTCCCGGAGTCACTGTTGTTGTCATTCTCCTCGTTTGGCCACTTTTCCACCGTGTCGTCATCAAAGACGACAAGGGTGTGGTCCTGACGCTTCTGTCGCGAGAGAACTCGTTTCCCATTGTACTGTCTTCCTCCTCCTCCTCCAGACTTGACTACCGCTGCATAGGAATTTTTGACTTGAGAAGTCATCTGTTCCCTTTGCAGGGCGAGGTCACAAATTTGCCTATAATTGTACTTACCGGACTTCGCTTCGGTGACTAAATGTCCCCGGATGGGCTCAGGCAATGCGCGGGAATAGATGTACAGCACTTGGCTGTCCTGCAAGTTCAATCCAGGAACCTGCAACAATCGGTCAACTTCTCGGGACAAAGCCTCAACTGACGTCCAATGCTTTTGACCAATTGACGACAATTGGTCAAAGGCCTTGTCGGCCGTCGTCTTGTCGAGGAAACGGTCCCTGGTTTTCGCCAAGAACTGTTTCAGCATCGATGTCTTTGCCCACTCACCGATATCTTCGAACCCCGCCGCATTGGCCTCGGCCAGCACCCATTGCTTGGCCTCACCACCCATGCAAGAAGTGGTGAACGCGACTTGGGACTCCGGCTCGACCGGTGCGGTACTCACATACGTCTGGATTTCTGCAATCCACAGCAACAGACTTTCTTCTTTCTTGTTGCAAAAGGTAAATGGCAACTTCATCTTCTCCTTTTCTTTCTTCTTTGGTTTTTCGGGTTCAGCGCTTGTCTTTTCTGGAGTTTCTTTAGGAGTAGACTTAGAAGAATGAGAAAAGTGAGGAGTAGATGGTTGACTTGATCCATTTCCATTGGATCCATTTCCATTTGTCTTTATCACGGGACCAGCAGACTTTATTGCGTCCCCCATCAACTTCTTTACTTCTTTCTTCTCCTTCTTCTCTTCTTGTTCTTCTTCTCCCTGAATCTGATTCTTACCTTTCACAATATTAGCAATTGTTCTCAATCCAACAGTGATTTCATCCAACTGATTTTGCTGTCTATCAATCTTCTCTTCTAGAAAGGTAAAGGTAAGATATGTCACAATATGAGCCAACGTTTGTGACATGTCAGTCTGTTCACCGACTTCTGTTCCTATTACTTGCCTGATCTCTTTAACTCTTTGTCCTCTTCGTTGTTCCTGTTCTCTTCTTCGAGATACTTCTTCTTTCTTTCTTTCTTTCTTTCGCAGCCAAGGCCTCTCTTAGCTGCTGGATATTGGAATCAATCGATTCTTCACTTCTGTTTTTACTTCCCCCTTGCGAGTAGCTTCCATGATCTCTTCCAATTGCTTTTAAAGCAAACTGGTCTAGAGCCTGTCCCTCCTGAGCAATCAGTTTGGAGGCCTCTGTACTGGGTGCCACAACCTCCACAGCCGTGATAGACTTCTTCAGGTGGTCTTCAACCCCCTGAAGATCGAAATTATCACGGATGTGTTGCTCGGCATCTGGTCCAGACAGTTGTACCTCCACCAGGAACTGATTCCACAAGGCTAACAGTTCCTCTCTCTTTCTGTCAGCCTGTCCCCTTGTCCTGAGTTCAGACGGTCCTTCCCCAACGGAAAGTGTGATCGGAAAAGAAAACAGGAAAGTAGTCAGGAATCTCRTCAAGATAGACTGTTGCAGACATTTCCAGAAGTAAGACATTTTGAGAGAACAGAAACACGAAAATTCGTTGGCCAGATTATTTATCGCAAAATAAACAATAATTCATGGTCACCTGAATCAGCACGCTGTTCTACCGCAAAAGACAATAATTTCACGGTCACCTATCCGACACTCTATCTGAGTCAAAAGAATAATAATAAGGAACAGAAGTTTTCTAATTCTATTTGCTGTTCTGTTTTCAATGTGATGACATCCTACTCTATCTTAGGTACCGCAACTCCAGGCCAGCATGATCATCAACAAACACAAGTGAGTACACAGGTACACAACATAGCCAGACAACAGGTAAGTCCGCCAACAAAAATCAATCAATAGTTAGCGTTTTTCCCTTCTTGCTGTTTCGTCCTTCTTTGTCCTGTGTGACCAGCACACAATCTGACGTTCGGCACCACAGCCACGTCAGTCTTCTTGCCGTGCCGCTTCAGTCATCAGAATGCTGTCCTCACTTAGGCACGATCGTGCCTGCCACGTGTCACCCCTGGCCTGCCAACTCAGCAACTCGATGAGTATGCCAGGTCAGCAGTTCAATGAATATCATCAATGGGGTGCACGTCAGCAATGTATGCTGAAATCGAAATACCAGCCTGCCCCGATGTCGAAGTTCCAACCTGCCACGTGTATCCCCTGGAGTGCCAACACAGCAGCACTTCTGTCTGCCACATCAGCACCGTAATCCAGTCAACATCATCGAGGGGGTACACGTCAGGAGCGGTACCAACACGCCATGTAAGCCGGGTAACTGAATATGACACTGCCACGTCAGCCTCTTATCTCACCGAATGGTGAGTCAGCAATGCCACATCGTCAATCTGCTAACATCCACCGGCCACGTCAGCGATACTGCATACTCCAAATATCAATGCCACGTGGATGCCACGTCAGCATATGACGTGCGCTATCATCAATGCCACGTCAATGCCACGTCAGCATCGGACATATGAACCAAGGCAACGTTAATGCCTCGTTAATGCCTCGTTAATGCAACGTCAGAATCTGACGTGCGCTCTCTTGTCCACGTCAGCCACTTCAATGTAGATGCCACCAATTGTCGTTGTCGTCTCGGTCACACTATCGGAAGATCTGCTCCGATACCAAATTGCAATGAGCCCAGACGTGATGATACTCGTGAACATTACCAGTCCATATGATTATCGATCTGCTGATGAATGACAAACAATCGCGAATGTGTGTGATGATAGAATGAGGTGAGAATCATACACAGACGAAGGAGGAGAGAGGGAGAATAGACAAAGGAGAGAGAAGAAGACAACAGCCCACTTCTACTTCGGGTTCCTCCTCCTGCTTGCCACCTCATCAATCAATAGACTGAATACAATGTCTGAAGTTCTTCCTCAAGGTGCCACGTGGCACGTCAATCTGTCTACATCAGCAAATGGAGAGTATCGTCATCAACCAGGTACGTATCCTCGATAACCACAGTCTTGATCCCTTTCCGAAATGACGAAGAATCAGAACAGCCTCATCAATCTCGCAGCCCGCCACATCATCAATCATATACAGGTGGCAGCGGCCACGTCAGCAATGGCGCATGGAAGCTGCCACGTCAGCATGCCCAGAAGACCATCGCCAGCCAGCACCTTGCCAGCCAGCAGCGCCTTGCCATCCTCCTCTGCCAGCATATAGCCGGCGTCAAGCCAATGTCGCAATGTCGCAGCATAGCAACAGCGTCAAGTCCACGTGTGAAGTCAGCATTCACGCAAGACTGAATGTCCTCCAGCCAGGAAGTCAACTCTTAAATAGCGTGGATGCGGGGTCTGGACCCCGGGTGCTGAAGTCTTGCACCGTCCAGATCTCGATGTGAAGGAGGGCCCAGATTGGCCAGAAACTGTGTTCTTCCCGCCCTGAATGCTGTCTGGGTACCTGCACACAACAAGTGAATGTATCCGACCATAGGCCTGGGTGTGGTACCTTTGACTCTACAGTTGACTTTGACTGTTGAATTTCCTTTGTGCTGCGTTCGGTCACACAGCCTCCTCGACAGACTTAGGCTGGGCATGTCTCGCTCACATAGCCCAGCACAGACAACAGAGTCTGTGTCTTACCGGGGGCAATGTTATGAGCCCCGGTCTGCTGCTGAACTGGGTTACCGCACCAGGGCTTTCACACCACCGATGTATGTTTGTGAGGGATTGGTTGCAGTCTGAGTCAGGTTTGAGTCAGTCCATGTGTATCAAGTCTTCCGCTGTAATTGTACTTACTCTGTGTTATCTGGTCGGTTCTGGGAATCTGCGCCATACTTATGACTGTGTTTCACGAGTATGCAACACATTAGCAGTCTTCTCCGCCTCAATCCGCTTCGACTCATCCATACCTTTCTCTGCCTCCAATCATCCAAGCTCGTCCTTCACACTTACAGACCATGTCACAAGTTGCAGAAATACCCCTGACACATCACAACTTGGACTACAGCACATTTTGCAAACAGAAATTCGCTGCCACTGTTGGTTTCTCCTTTGAGACCCTCTTCTTCCTGTCTCTTATACACATCTAGATGTGTATAAGAGACAGGCCTCCAATCATCCAAGCTCGTCCTTCACACTTACAGACCATGTCACAAGTTGCAGAAATACCCCTGACACATCACAACTTGGACTACAGCACATTTTGCAAACAGAAATTCGCTGCCACTGTTGGTTTCTCCTTTGAGACCCTCTTCTTCTTCTTCTTCTCGGGTTTGGACAGCTGCTGGTCCACGGGGACCCTCTTTCTTGCCTGTGAGTGAGCACGCCCCTGTCATCTTTTCTTACCACCTCCCTTTGGTTCAGCTCCTCTGTTATGGGACCCAAACACTTGGCTGACATCCCAATTGTTGGCAGTGGCGATAGCAGTGGTAGGAATTTACCAAGCTTCAAATGATTTCCAACATGTATAAGTCGTGAAGACAGAAACGGGAAAAGCACAATTAATTGGAAGCTTCACACCAAATTTGCATAGAGTAGTCGCACCAGCGTCGTCGATAAAAACGAGACGAGAAGAAGTTATATCCACTTGGGTGTGTGGCTGGCCTGAGCAGCCTACTAAAAGAAGAGCAAGGCACTGAAAACCATGCGGTATAGGGCCAGAACACACTTGGTGGCCATGGCGTCGCCCAGACTCTGTCCTTCGGCTTCCAAAAAATAGCGCTGCTCCTGCGTCCCGTCTGGAAGCTGACTGTTAGAATACCAACTGGCCTAGCTCGGCTGGTACACCCCCCGAACTGCGGAAATACAGACCCGAGTTCAAACTCTACTGGAAGCAGATGAGCGAAATACTACAATTCTGGATCGAAGGGCGACAATGTTTTTTTTTTTTTTTTTTTTTTTTTTGGTTAAATTTCGACACCCTTAATATATCATCATTGAACTGACTAGCCACAGGCAATTCGGAATGATCTCATCCTCTTCATCTGAAGTTATCTGGATTTGAACTGGAGTCTGAACAGCAATCTCGTCAAAACAGACATATTTTATATTTTGAACGAAATTGAAACCTCATAAATTGACCCTGTTTTAGGTGGAAATTTTAAGCTCTTGAGGGTCCGCCCTGGATGTATCTGGACTTCGCTGGAGTCCAGGGGGTTCAGCGTTCTGAAAACGCCGTATCACCTGTATGTATCTGGACTTGGCTGCCATGCTGGGGGTAGGGCGTTTTCAGAATACTGTACCCTCAGGAGCTTGTAATGTGGACCTAAATTGGGCCAATTTATGAGGTTTGAATTTCATTCAAAAAATAAAATATATCCGTTTCTTTACTGTTCAGGGTCGTACCAACTGAGCTAGACCTGTTGGCTACTGTACTCTCCCTCTTCTTTCTTTTTTTTTTTTTTGTTTGTACTCTATTTCTAACTTGCTACCAGTCGTCTTACTGGGTCGAATTTGCCTCGGCCTTACAGGATCACTGTCCGGCGTCCACTACTGTCTTCACCCGAATAGAACGCCAGGTCGTTATCGGACCATGTGGACTGAATGTTCCAGCAAAAATGAAATGATACAGAGAGAAGATTAGCGCAGGCCGTGTCACAACAATACACAGAAGTGGTAGAGTTTTGGAAAACACAGACATTCAATGCGTTTACTATGTCGTGCGGGAATTCTGCATGTGGAAATCGAGTCCTGACCCCAACAGAGCCATGCCTCGTATGCCACCCCCCTGTTACGTGGTAATGCGCTTTTAACCCAGGCTCCCCTTGTGATCACACACATTACCCACCATAGATGGCCTGAGTCCTCCAGGGATGGGTGAACGCAGGCCTTTCAAAAGACAAATATTAACACTAATTTACTCCTACACCTTTACCTGCACACCATTCGGCCGTGGGGATACAGCAGAGTGGAGGTGGAGCCATTGTAGGCCGGCCCCCCATTCTTGTCTCGGAGACCCACATAATAAAAGTTAAATAACAGAAGAATGGAATCCATTTGAACGAAAACTCACTGAGGTCCAGATTCCTGGCCTTCTCAGACCAGGAGAAAGGGACCCTTTTCCGTCTCTCAGAAAACCACTAGTACCTTCGCCGTCTCGTTTCGGCAAGTTTTAGCCTATGCCCGAACTTTTAGTAGGCCGGGCCCGACAACGGCTGCCGTTGATAAATCTGATCGGTGGCCGTCGTTTCGTTTCGGCCTCCTGAAAGGTCGGATGCGCACTATTTTCTGAAATTCTTGGAAGTGGTAGCGTGAGTGTGCCCTCATTGAGGGCGTCTCAGCCCCGGGGCCAGGTTGTCAGATTCCAGAAAGACAGAGACAAACAAAAAAAAGGGAAACACGGATTTGGCCGTGAAATTGGCTCGAAACATTCCTCTAAGTGCCAGTGTGATCAGGGTTACGATCCTCTGAGGAAACACAGCTTGAGCAGATAACGGTGGCCAGGTTGTCAGATTCCAGAAAAACAAAGAAGTAAAAAAAAGAGGAAACATGGGTTCGGCCGTGAAATTGGCTCCTTAAATTCCTCTCCTTAAATTCCTCTAAGTGCCTGTGTGATCAGGGTTACAATCCTCTGAGGAAACTCAGCTTCAGCACATCACGAATTCCGCCCTGCCTCGTTGGCAGGGGACTCGTAAGAAAAAAAGAAAAAAAAGGGGAAAAAAAGGAAGAAAAAAGCAAAAAAAAGGCAAAAAAAGGAAAGAAGAGGATTTTTTTTTCTTAAAGGAAAAAAAAGGAAAAAAAGAAAAAAAAAGACAAAGAAAAAAAAAAAAACAAGAAAAGAAAAGAAAAAAAAAAAAAAAAAAAAAAACGGAAAAAAAAACCACAACATCCACAATCTGACCGTTTTAGCTGGAAGATTCATTCTGTGGACTATTGTGAGCACGCCCTCCTAGACTACCCTGCCCGACATCATTGCAGTAGAGAAAGTATCTTCTGTTTTTTTTTTTTTTCTTTCGTCCGTGGGCAATATAAAACTAAATTTTATGGGACTTGCCGAGNTTTTTTTTTTTTTTTTTTTTTTTTTTTTTTTTTTTTTTTTTTTTTTTTTTTTTCCTTTCGTCCGTGGGCAATATAACACTAAATTTTATGGGACTTGCCGAGCCTGGGTCCCACTCCGATTTCTTCGGGAACGGGCGTTTTGTCATATTTTCCCAACACTGGCGGAGGTAGTAGTGGTTTAAGTAGTAGTCAATTAGTAGATGTTCCCCCATGCCCCCCTGCGTCCCTGCCCTTCCAACATCCTCCCCCCTTCCCCCCCCCCTCTGGTCACCTCTGGGACCCCCAGGATTACATGGCACCAGAATGGAATCCACTTTTCGCCGACGTTCAGATTTCCAATTCCCAACCTTTCGGGACCGGGAATTCCTCAGATCGGCTTGCAATGTGGTGGCTTTAGAATGTAGTTTGTGTTCGCCTCTCACGAAGGATTGTGCGATTGATAAAAATACTCAATAGATATCCCACCATAATCCTCAGGTGTTATCCACCCTGTCTTATAGACATCTATCTTCAGTTTTTGACTGGAAGGAGCTGCTGATAAAATGTGGTTGGAACTTCACCTGTTCCCGATGATTCTTGCACCGGAGCACTTCCATGTGTCGACTCCCCGCCGCTCTCAGGGTAACTGAGGTAGGTTTCGGTTGTCGTACTGGGATATCCGCCGTATTGTACTATGTGGAGGCCTGATAGACACTCCTTTTGACTCCTTTTGACTCCTTTTGACTCCCCTCGACTCCTTTTGACTCCTTTCGACTCCTGCGTCCCTAGTTAGAACAGCTGGTGAAGTGTTCCTTTGTTTGTGAACCAAACGACCGACCAGCAGGATCGGTACGTACATCTCCCTTGAGCAGCTTTCTGTATCCACTCCTGCGTTACTGCTGCCTGAAGTTGTTTGCAGGTGCTCTTCTACCTTAAACCACCGGTACATCCAAGGCTAAATTCACGGGCCAAGCTTTAACACCCCTTGCGCGCCAAGCTTTGCGGAAATGCCAGCGCGGTGTTTTTTATTTTAGTTTTTGCTGGCACCGGGGGCCATTTCGGTCCGGTTGCCCTGAGCCTCCGATTTGTTTTTCGGAGTGACTCAATCGTGTGAGTCTCAAGTTGTGGCCGGGGCCATGTACTGGTGGGTTAAAGCTCTGCACCTTCCCTTTTAGTCGTTGCCCACACTCCCACCGATGAGCTTTGCTTGTCATATATGTGGTGCAGCTGCCACACTTGGCTGCGGGAACCTTTTCTTTTCAAAAAGAGCCCTGACCCATCAGAGATGAGACGTCTTGTGAAGAGATGGTTCTGAATAAGCATCAGGGTCTCGGAGACGCATTTGTAGAGGAGCTCTGGTGCTATACTTCACTTTCAGTTAACTGAGCGATGAAAGTGTTCTGACTTCTCAACCTGCGGCTCCTCGTGAAGAAGCAGGTGGTGGGGTAGGTAGGTAGGTGCAAAAATGCTTGCCAAACTGCTGCTGGGTCTGTCAGGGCCTATGCCATTGCCGGGGTGACTTGTGTTTAACAGAATCCAGTGCTGTGATTCTGTGGCCCTCAGAGATGGCCTTTCCGCTTTTCTGTAGAGCGAAGAGAGAGAACTACCTATTGGCTGAAAAAGGAAAGGGAAAGCGAAAAAAAGGACTACCTATTGCCTGCCAAACTGCTGCGGGGGGTCTTTCAGGGCCCCTGCCATTGCCCCGATGACTTGTGTGAACAGAATCCAGTGGCCTTTCCGCTGTTCCGTACGGAGCGAAGAGAGAGGACTACCTATTGCCTGCTAGTAACATGCAAACGGACTGTTAATGCTGGTGTCGACATTCAGCGTATGTTTAGCGTTTTGTTCTTCTGCCTGCATGAGGGTAGAAGATGTGAGAGAGCAGCATGCGAGATACCTAGATTCGGCGTTTCTGACTGCGGTTCATGAAAATCGATGGCCAGGAACAAGGAATCCTTCCTTGTGATGCCTCGTGCGGACTCTCTTTCGTTGGAGTACTGTCGATTGTTTTTTTGGCAGTGTTAGGTGATTGTCGGACTGGAAACTGAGATCGGTGGTACTGATCCGTCACAGATCAACCTGCTCTCAGCTCTTTCGGAACTGTCTTTTCTCCCATGCATCTTATGGCTTATAATATGTGAATCTATGCGCTTGTGGCTATCTGCGTTTTGAACGACATGGCTGTTCTACGATGTCGATTGTTCTGCAGCTTAGGGCTCAGCAGGATTTCAGTGAATGCAGGATGTGGGGGGTGACTGCCTTGGGAGTGTGATCCCCTCTTGGTTTTTGTGATTTTGCATATTCTTGAGAAAACGCAAACAAAATAAGTCGAACCGATTCAATTGGCAGACAGCAGATCAGCCAGTCAAGAAGAGATTGTTTTCTTTTTTCTTTTCTTCATTCGGACCATTTCTCAATTTATGCGCGTCATCCTTGCGCACGGGCCATGCTAATCTTCTTCTGCGTATCGCTCCAATTTTAACGGATGTCCTGAAGGACAGCCAAGAAGAGATTGTAGCAATGAATGTGTCCATTACAATGTGTACGTGTTGTCAATCAATGGCAGAAAAAAAATAATGGAGACCATGTTTGGGAATGAAAGGGACAAGAAGGTTGAATCACTGTGTTTGTCCTCCGGTCTGTCTGTCTGTCCGGTCATCTCTCTGTCTGTTTTTCTGCCGGTCCTTATGTCCGCCCACCGGGGCGCCTTACTGCCTGCTGGGCGGCGTCTTGGTGCCTATTCGGGCAAAGGGTGGGTGGTTTGTCTGTCAGTCAGTCTGTTCGTTTTCCCGACGGTCTATCCGACTGGCGAGTTCCGATGATAGGGAGTACCCTGTACACAGTGCCTGAAGAGCTTTGGTGGTCAATATCAATAATATGCTCTGTGCGGGGACCACCACCTGTCCTTGCTAATCTGGCATCCTCTCCTGGACAGCCTGACACAGTGGCGTCCTGTCTGATCTGACTTGCCATCTTGTCCCGACTTATCTGACATGCTGCCCTGTACTGGCTAATCTGACACACTGTCGTGTCATTGCTGACCTAACACGCAGTCCTCTCTGCTTGGCCCGACACTTCGTTCCGACGCTTGGTCTTGCCCTGGCCAATTTGACACACACGGTCACTGAACGAGGAAGAAGAAGAAAAAATGTTTGCCCAGTAGGATGGCGGAGAATGAAAACGTTGAGAGGAAAACGTCGAGAAGCTCAAGACTAGTGTTGGGGGAAATCCCGAAAGTATGCTGAAGGGCGCCTTTTCGTTTTTAAGCTTGTCTTGAAGCTAGCTGTGGCGTTAGTAACGTCGACTCAGTGGATCAGATGGACGTTAGCGGCCTAGCTCAGAAGTGCCCCGTTTGTTTACGCAAAGAAGCCAAAGTAACTCTGGTCATATGTCTCTCTTCCTCTTTGCCTTTCTTCAGTTTGACAGCGAGAAAGTTTGGCGGCAGTGAGTCATCCCGCAATATCGACAATCTTCTCCACTTGCCTGGAGAGATCAACAGTTTTGAGGCAGAGAGTGTGTGGTTTCGCTGGCGTGTCTTTTCGGATCCTTTTGTGATCGCGGTTAACAAGGGGTCTCTTCGAGATATGGCGCCCCTAGGGGTGGGTAAGGAGGTGGAGTTCAAGCAGAAGTCTGGAACGGCTTGGAGCCATGCTTTCCTAAACCAGAAATCTTGGCATCCTTTGTCCTACCCGAATCAGAAACGCCTGTGGATCGCGCAACAGGTGCATGCAGTCGATCTAAAAAAGAAGGAGGAGGTTGCTCGTGAGTTTGCTCAAGAGCAGGAGTTCTTCCGACAAACAGCGGTGCTCTCCGGGAAAGAAAAAAAGAAGCTGGAAGACCTCCAGGCTGTAGGCTTTCTTTATGCCCGACCACCGGGGTACAACGCAGAGAGTGCGCATGCCGCAAAGGTGGAGGAGGAGAGGAAGAAGGAGATGAAGGAGATGCTGGCCGTCAAAGGCATAGAGCAATGTTCAGGCAAAGTTGGAGAAGCGGATTCTAAGGGAGCCAATTTATTGGATGGGGGGAAAGAGGAGAAAGACGGTGCCATGGAAAAGAAGCCGCGACGTGTGAGAGATGTTTTTGGGAGAACGATCCCCACCGAGGAGGAGTTTAGTGTCTTGAAAGGTGCACCCCGGATGGAGACCGGGGTCACCGGAAGGGCGAAGCCGTTCGCAATCGAGGTGAGAAATGTGAAGTGCGCACGGTGTGGATCTTATGGCCACCAAAGTGGCGACAGAGAGTGTTCCCTCAGAGGCATGATGGGTCCATCAGAGATTGCTCGTCAGGCTCGTGAAGACCCTCTGACACTGATGCAAGCGCAGATCGAACTGGAAGAGCCAACGGCGAAGTGGGAACTAAAGCAGCGACCTGGAGCATGCAGTCCCACACGGGGAGGTTTCAAGCCAGATGATCCGAACCAGCAGTTTGTGCCACCTGATGTGTTCGATGAATATGGGGGTTTCTTGAGCGATGGAGCTCAAGATGACGAAAATGGTTTTCGTCTGGGTCTACCCGGTAGTGTGGTGATGGCCTCGGTACTGCAAACTCAGAGAGAGGAGATGAAGCATGACATGAAGGCAGAGAGAAGAAAGGAGAGAAGGGAGAGAAAGCGGAGGAAGCATGAAGAAAGGAAAGCGAGGGCAGAGAAGAAAAGGAGAAAGCAAGAGAGGAAGAGAAAGAGAGAGGAGGAGGAAGAGAAGGAAGTGTATTCGAAAGAAACGGCGAAGAGATGTCGTGTTGAGAGGCAAGATAACAGATGCGAAGTTGATCGAGCTCGTGCAGGGCGCGAAGCTGGCCCTCTCGCACACAGTGATGAGACTGATTGCAGGTCTGTCAGCAGTGACACGAGTGAAACAGACGAGGACTCGACTTCCATTGATGGTCGCAAGTCGAAGGATCGCTGTAAGAGCAACAGGAAAAGTGAGAGAACTACAAGCAGAGATCACACCCACAAGAAGAGCAGTGGACGCCACAACTCTAGGAATGAAGAATTGGCCGACAAAAAGGGGGATCATGGTCACAAGGCTCATTCCCATAAGGACCGAAAGCGAGAGAAAAGCTGCAGAGGACACAGACACAAGGCCAGGAGGAGGTCGGCTTCCAGCGATGACTCAACCTCAGATTGCAGCCCTGCACTCAAGGATTGCCGTGGCAACGGAGAGAAACCTGTCGTGCCTGGGAGAGGGAGGATGTCATCTTCTAGCCGTGACAACGGTGAAGAGTTAGGGTTATCTGATGAAGACCACAAGTCGCATGCTTGTCATGGTGGCAAAGAGAGGAGAGGGGCTAGGGGCATCAGCCGAAGAGACCGTTGTCATGAGAGCAGACGATGAGGGTCCTGCAATGAGGACGACAAGTACGGAGGTCTCTGGGACAGCAAAGAAAGAAGCACGCAGAATAGTGGCAGGAGAAATGACTGATGCATGCAGGCGATACTCCTCGAGCGACAATAGACCTTGTGCTTCTTGTCATAGTGAAGTCTGCGGCGATGGGACAGCAGGAGGGAGGGAGGGATAGACACATCAAAAAAAGAAACTCTAAGACCATGATGAGAGGAATCATTGATGTGATTATGGCTTGGCTAGGCTGGGCTTTGATGGGCTTGGCTTCTCAAAATGACAATCATGACGTCAAGGGATGACAGCCACAGCAGCGAAGGCGAGTGACAAGAGTCCAAAAGGGAAATCAAATCGCTTTATCAAAATGATGATCATGACGTCAAGGGACGACAGCTACAGCAGCAAAGGCGAGTGAGAGAGTCCAAAAGGGAAATCAAATCACACGAGCAAATTCTGTTCCGCTAATTGCGCAAAGCAGCCCCTGATTGATTATGGAAGCAGGAGGGAGAAAGTGGCCTGTACATAGATATGGCCAACCTGTAAGGTGAACCGATCAGAGAGATGTCAAGTGGGGAGAAAAGGTCAGGAGCGGTCAGTTGCGTTGCGGTAGGGTGAAATGATCTGGATGCAAAAGGCAAACATAAAAAGAGCACGAGACTTGCTCCTCCGTTGCCTCCAGTGGACCTCTATGTATATACGTATACTCGCCCTCTGACTTCAATACCTGCGGTGTTGGTCGTCATCGACTCCCTAACCGCCTACAAAGCTTACACTGACTATGGCCACAGCCCCTGTCGTCGTTGATGTATGTCTGCAGCTGCAGCGGTCCCTTAACACTGGTGAGTCTCAGGTTCCGGAAGAAATGCCAGTGCTACCGTCTTGACCCAAACAGAACGCCCGGTCATTGTAGCTGTATTTGGTACCATTTTCAGTCCGGATGCAGCTATAATGACCGAGCAATGCAGGCATTCTATTCAGGGGAAGACGGTAGAGATGTGATCTACAGGCCATTGACTCGAAAACTGCCTGCGAACCTCTGACTAACTACGGCCGCAGCAGTCTCTGTCGCCATTGATTTGCACACAGCCGCAGACCCAAACAGAACGCCCGGTCATTATAGCCGTATTTTGTACCATTTTCAGTCCGGATGCAGCTATAATGACCGGGCAACGCAGGCATTCTATTCAGGGGAACACAGTAGAGATGTGATCTACGGGCCATTGACTCGAAAACTGCCTGCGAACCTCTGACTAACTAGGGCCGCAGCAGTCTCTGTCGCCATTGATTTGCACGCAGCCGCAGCAGTCCCTGTCGTCATTGATTCGCATGCAGCGGCGACACTCCCAGACGTCATTGATTTGCACGTAGGCGCAGCAGTCCTTGTCGTCATTGATGTGCACGCAGTCGCAGTAGTCCCTTCCAGCGATGAGCTTCACGTTCCAGAAGCAATACCTGTGCCCGAGGTGATCCGCATGCCGTTGCCTTGGAAACTGCCTGCAAACCTTGTGCCGAGTCTGCCGACTATTGGCTGCAGCAGTCTCGTGCATGAGCTGACTATCGGCTGCAGCAATCTCTGTGGTCTGTGCATGTGCTCTGCAGTGGCGACAGTCCGATTTATTGTGAGCCTCGATTCCATGAGCCTGAATTCCAGAAGAAACACCAGTGCCGGAGAAGACCTACAGCACATTGACTGGTAAATTGCACGCAAACATAAGGGCTGACGATGAGCGCAGCAGTCCCTGTGATCGTTGATGTGCCTGCAGCCGCTGTTGCATTGCCTTGTACATCGTCTCCGTCTTCACCTAAATAGAATGCCCGGTCATTACAGCTGCATTTGGCATTTGGCATTTGGCACAACTTTCAGTCTAGATGCACCGATAATTACTGGGCGTTTTATTCGCCGGTGAAGATGGTAGCACTGGCATTTCCTCTGCAACCTGAGGCTCTCCAGGTTGCTGTAGCTGCAGTTTCAGAGAATGCTGTCTCTGCCTCCTGACTGCCTCACTCCTTCTCTCTCCCCTCCCCGTCCCCTGCCCAGGCTCTTCAAAGACAAAAGCAGTCTGAAGGACTCAAGAAACTGCAAAAGGCCTATCCTGAAGGAATGCACTGAACTTGGTCTTCTTTTTTTGTGACCCCTCAAGGCAGAGCTTGCCTATCATAATTTCCTCTAGCTTATAATGGCAATGGGTTCTGTCAAGAGATTTTCAAATTTTCAATGGATTGGATCTGGGCTTCCACACTTTCCAGTTGAAAAAAAACTGAAGTTTGAAGTTGGAACCAATCTGACTGACAGCTTCCTTCAATGAGAAGCCAGGTGTAGCAATCATTGTGGTCTAGATATCGTTCTTGAGGCGGTCTTGAATCTCTTAGGGTATACTCACAAGCACTTTCTACGACGTATCTGACCGCAATTGTGACCAGATTCCACCCGAAAAGTCGTCATGTGCGTAGACTTGAACTCTGAACTGCTGTAGTTTTGGTGCCCTATCCAATTGAGTCACGAAAAACACATTTTGAGCTCGCTGTAGTCTATTTTTAGGGGTATACATAGGACATTGCTTTTTCATAGCAAAGAGTTTTTTTTTTTTTTTTTTTTTTTAATTTACAATCTGACAGGGGTTCAGTTGTTACAAGTTGTGTGGATAGGTGTACAGTCACCACGATAGAAGAGAATTTAACCTTGGTTTGGTTTGGTTTGGTTTGACATGTACACACTCACGGGTGGAAGACAATTTTTTTCACCGAGTGCGATGAACGGCAGAACAACTGGAAGCGTAGGCATTCACAAGTCAGAGAGAGTTTCATCTCTTATGTCATTGGCAGGAGTCGAGAACAACCGGCAGAGCACTTTTTTCAAGCTCAATTTTGACAATTTAATCTAGAGATTAAGTCGCCCATGCTTTCAAGAGTTGGCGCTTTACATACAAAGAGGCTTGTGGCACCAGGATCCTGATAACAGGGAAGCCTCTCTTTTTTTGTTGGGCGGGGTGGGGGGTGGGGGGGGGAAGGGTTACTTGATACTGGCACCCCCACAATTTTAGTGGGTTTATCAGTTACTGCCGTACCCCTTTTTCTAACGAACCCCCCCCCCCCCCGCTCCCCCTCTCCCCCGACAGTCAAATAGGGAGTCGAGGGTCTTCTTTTTTTGTTTTCTTTTGTTTTTTGGGGTTGAACTTCTTTTATAAAAGCCTCACTCTGTGGATTGATAGCAACTTGATGGGCAAGTTGGGTATAAAAGGTTGTGGGGTTTGGCCACAAGAGCCATTGGAAAAGCACTGAAAAATTGGGTGGAGGGTACCTGGGCGACCTTCCCCCAGCCGGGCCGCCCGGGGACTATCATGGCTGAAAATAGGGGAGTCCATTTAACAATCTGTCGTCTTTTGTCATTGCGAAGGCAGGAGATATGTAGGAGTTGCTGCTGACTGACGCCGTCCATTTCTTTTTGAGTGAGATCATGAGATGATGTGGCAAGAGAAAAGAAAAGATAGTGTAGTATCTGTTCTGAATCTTCTGATAAGTTTAATATCGATCGATCCGCGGTCCGCCGGACCACACACACACACACACACACACACACACACACACACACAAACAAAGAAAAAGAAGGAAAAAAAAGTGGATGATTGGTGGTGGCAAATCAGGGGAGAACATTTTCGAGGCGTGCTGCCAGTGTCGCCACTGCAGTGGCCAAGATTGATTATTCGTGGGCAATTCTCTCCCTGTATTCTTTGGTATTTCAACCAATAAGGAGTAAGAGGGAGATCAGGTCACAAGACGCGGAGAAGTTCTCGAGTCGTTTTGCTGCTTCAACTATCTTCTTTTTCTCTCTCCCCCTTCTTATCTCGTCCGCTTTTGTCCTACGTCCTTTCTTGACGGAATGTCGAGTTGTGGCACGTGATCGAACCGTTTGTGCGATATATTGAATAACTTTTTGACGCAAGCTTTTTGTCAGGGAAACTGAAAGGATCACATAAAAACAAAGACTTTTTTTGGGCTTGTTGTCTCTAATTTTTGGGTTGCTTTGGGCTGGTGGCTGTCTCTTTTTTCAGGGCTGGTAGTTGCTTGTCTCTGCCTTTCTTTTTTGTTTGTTTTTGTTATTTGTCTCTGTTTTTGGGTTGGTAGCAGTCTCCATTTTCAGGCTGGAAGCTGTCTCCGTTGTTTTGGGGTGACAGCGTCTTATCTCCGCTTTTGGCTGGCAGCTCTCTCCAAATTTTGAGCTGGCAGTTGTCTCCGTGTTCTGGGCCATCTGCTGCTTGTTTCCAGTTTTTGGGCTGGTAGCTGCTTATCTCCGTTTTTTGGGCTGGCAGCAGCAGGCAGCCGTACCCGTCTTGGGCTAGCAGCTGTCTACGTTTTCTTTTCTCTCTCTCTCGCTCTTTTTTTTTCTTTTTTTTTTTGGACCCTTTCTGGATTTATGTGTGTCAGCCTTGCGCAGGGGCCATGCTAATCTTCTCTATATCGATCCAATTTTAGGGGATGTCCGGAAGGACAGCTGCCTCCGTCTTCTAGGCTGGCACCATCTCCGTTTTTGGCTGCAAGCTTCGTCTCCACTTTTTTGCATGGAAGCTGCTTGGCTTGCGCCATTAGGAGGCGTCTGGAAATCCTTATTGTCATCGTTTGTTTTTGTTGAAATGTATATATAAAAAAAGAACAAGAAGAAAATTTTAAACCATTTCTCGATTTATGCGTGTCACCCTTGTGCGCAAGGGGGCCATGCTAACCTTCTTCTCTGTATCGTTCCAATTTTGATGGATGTCCTTGAGGACAACCGTATCGTCGTTGTGCGTGGTGGGCAAACGAAAACAGTTGCACGCTGCTGCGTGGAATGCAACTTGTTCGCTGCTGTCGCTTGCTCAATCAGGAAATCGCACGGCAACCTGCACTGCTGTAGTTCCTCATCCGATCGCTGGGTTCGTTCCCATGGATTCCGTCTTCTGATGCACGGTATCAAAATCTCACTCCTGCTATTGTATCACCCATTGCCCGTATAATTCGTCAGCTTCTTGAGTGCCAACAGAGGCTTGTGATCCGTGATGAGGAGTTATCATATCAGGGCATGCTCACTCTAGGACTTTTCTAAATGAATCTCAGCATAATTACGGCATGACCCGGATGAATCTGACCGCAATAAAGTCCAGAGTTTATTACTAAAGACTAGTAAAAGTCCTAGTGTGAGTATGCCCTCCCTCGGTGCCGAGAAGGAATTTCCGTCCGTCTAGATATGAATCAAGATGGTAGACAGAATTAAACCTCGCCTTAAGTTGCTGCTCTGGTTCTGGGCTCCTCCTCTGGATTGACACGTTTGACCTTTCACCACCACCACTGTGTACAGAGATAATGTCCTCTTCGACAATGGCTTTGGTCACTGTCCGCACTTTTTCTCCTGCATTCATTGTATTGTTGCGCGTAACACTGTATCGATCTCGCCAGATAAGCTGATAGCGTAAGCTCTTT